TGATGGATTTATAATTATTGAAACTGTTGACCCTCTGTAGGGGAGGTACCAGAAGGAGTGGACCAATGGGTCCCATCTTCCTACTTAATCTAGGATTGGTAAAGATAATAGGTTGTACAAAGTTTCGTTACAATCGGATAGTCCGTTTGCATGTTATTTTAAAATTAATTTTTAGCATAATTTTGACCATTTTTGGGGGCGTTACCAGAAGGTGTGGACCGATATTCCCCATCTACGAACTTAACTAAGTTTGGAAAAAATATTAAGATGTGCAAAGTTTGGATGAAAAAGATTAAGATTATATATATTGTTCCTTAAAGAGTCAAATTTAGGCCGATTGGCACAAAATTGTCTAAAATTAGGTTACCCTAACGTTAATAATTTTTAGTGAAAACATTTGGTAGTAATAAAAACTCATTATACCAATTTTCAGCGAATTCGCATACTAGCGTGCTCAAGAAACCCAAAATATTAAAAATTTGCGGTACCCCTATATGGGGGCTATGCCTAAACGTGGACCGATATAGCTCATCTTCGAACTTTACCTGCCTGTAGACAAGAGACAACTCCTTTCCTTTAGAGGCTATAATAATTACAATAGACAGACGGCAGGCGGATTTATAATTACTCTGATCAAAATTATATATACTTTATAGGCTCGGAAATTATTATTTAGTTGAGTTACGATATAACTTGCGTAGATACGGCATATTCTGCAGTTATACCATATCTACGCAAGTTATATTTATTTACCATATTTTGTTCGTAAGCGACTTGCTTTTGCCTTGTTTATGTCTCGCATTAGCTACTGCCTTGAGGTAGTTTCTGGTAGCAGTCAAGAGAAGTTGAAGAAAATTGAGAAATTTTACAATATGGTTCTGCTCTTAGTTACAAATTACCATGTTACAAATTATTCATTGCGGTTTCTGGGTGTACCGTTTAATATTTACATTGACCTACTGCGTAGTAATTTCATGTTTTCTTATTCCACGCGCAATACATAATTACAAATTCCTTGTTTTACCTCTTTAATGTTTGAACGATCATTTACGGTTAGAGTTGCCCGACTCTGGAATCAACTTCCTTCAGTTAACATTTAGACACAGATCACATATATAATTTAGTCCAATTTCAAGTCAATGGCCCTTCAAAAATGCGGGGTCTGTTACGATGAATCTCTTGAGTATAGCCAAAGGGGTAAAGGGTATCATATAGCCCCGTCCGACTTTTCAACTTTCCTTACTGGTTTTCTATGTACACACAATGTTGCAAAATATGGCTGAATAAATGTTATTAAAATCAGGTTTTCGTGTAGATGTCCTGTTAATATTTATGTATTATTCATATCTTCTCTTACATATTGATCGATCATTACTAAAAACAATAGAGGTCTTTCTTGGCAACAACCGGTCCTACATGCCAAATTCGCGACGATGGGCAATTTGTGATAACTGGGACCAGATATTGTGTTTACAAACTGTAATGGACGGACCTAGCACCATTATTTCGCGAAAAAGGGATGCTTTAAAAAATAATCCTCATTTTATTTAACTGTAGAAATGTGATCTCTCAAAATATTCTCGTTGGAATTATTAACTGAAATGTTCGACTAAAACACTATATAGGTCTCCAATATAGTAGTCCCTTTCATAATTAAGTATTTTTAAGATCTCAATATAATTAAGTTCACAGCTAAGCTGTATATAAATATGTAGCATATAAAATAGTATTTAAGTTTATATTTTAGTAAATTAGTTTTTAGAAAAAAAAACTGCTGTGTATACGCGTTGTTTTTGGCGGCAAAATCTTATTATAAATTTACCTTAACTTCACTGGTGTTTGATGTTTTTTTCATATACAAACAAATGGTAAAAGGGTATTACTTTCACTTTTCACATTGCATGTTTCTCCTAACTAACCACAAAACTTTAACCATATACAAAACAAACAAATTTTCCAAACAAAAAACAAATTCATAAGCTTTAAAATGCTTTCACTTGTTCTATTTCTAGGGTAACCAAAAAAGAAAAGCAAGACAGACAGAAACAAAGAAAACAAAATACTGGGGGCCAAATGCAGGTTAGATGAGAGTGAGAGAGATTGGGATTGTTGTTAACCTACCACTTAAGAAGGATTATAAAAGGACAATGAACCGTGCCAAAGGGTGTTGTTGTTGTTGTTGTTTGTCTGCCATGATTTGTTGATAAATCATTTTTCATATTTCGATTCTCTTACACATACACTCAGTCATAAGCATCATCTCTGCCCCCAACCGCCTTACCTAAATGCATTTGAAATTGAAATCACAGAGTCACCAGATAGATTCTTCATTAGATTCCAAACAGCAAAAACGGGCAAATAGAAAGTCACAAAATATGGCTAGTAGTTTGGTAAATGATGATGAAGATAATGCCAGTAATGCAACGCGTAATACACAGCAGCAGCAACCCCAGATTGCAACAGGACAGACGAGCAATAATAATAACCAGCAAAGTAGTAATAATAATAACAATGGGGCAAGTGCCGCCAATACATCATCAGCCACCTCCACCAGCACCACCACTGCCACTTCCACCACGAATAAAATGCATCCCAGTGAAGCCAAGGCGAAAAAGGAAAATCTACAACAAAGAAAATTGGAATTGGAAAAGTTGTTAAATGAGAAAAATTGGCTGCTACAGCAGTTGCAAAAACAGGAGACCGAAATTCTAAATGGCAATTTTGAATATATGAATTTCAATGATTTCCTGCATAGCCTTAATGCCCAATATAAACAGGAACAGGCCACAACGGAATCTACCATTACGGGTGGTAGTGGAAGTATTGGTGGCCCCGATGAGGCAATTCTTCGCCGCAAACCTTTGATGGCCAAAGAAAATCAACAACATCACAATGTGTTGCATCGACGACAATCGGAAATTTCCAATCGTTCATCGGAATATGACAATTATCCGCATCAGGATAACTTATCAACACATTCAGAGGGTGCTGCAAGTGGTGGTGGTGGAGCAAGAGGAGTATCTGGTTCCTCTGCTGCGGCCATGACAATGCAACATGCCCAACAGGCCCAACAGCAATACAATGCAAAATCGGCATTGAAAAAACGTTCAGCCACAGTGGCAGGTACCACAACCCAACAAACGGCAGCGGCCGCGGCAGCCAGTAATTTACAAATGTTAAGGCAGCAACAGCATATGGAACAACAGCTAATGCAACAACATAATCTCTATAAACACCAACAACATCACTATCATCATCCCCAACAACATTTGTTCAAGCAGCACATTGAACATCATCAGGTGTTGATGCCACATTTACAATATGCCACACAGAAATTCTATTATACCACACTGCAGCCGACAACACAGCCCAGTACATCATCATCAGCTGGCTCCTCGGCACAACAGCAGCAACAACAACACCAAGTTGGTCAACCACAACAAAAAACGGTGCAGCAGCAGTTGCATCAACAGCAACAACAATATGGTCGCTATATTAAATCCAATCAGTTGCCACAGGCCCAAGTCCAGCAGCAGCAGCTTCCACAGCATCATCATGCTCAGCAGCAGCTTCCACAGCATCATCATGCTCAGCAGCAATCGCCAAATCACTCGCAACAACATCACATGAACTACAACCCTCAAAATTCCAGCAGCTCAAATGCCAATCATCAGCATCACCATCAGCAACAACAGCAGCAACAATTACTTCTAACACCCCCAGGCCATGGAACAATTGCTGCTGCCTCCTCACATATGGACAACATTTCTTTGTATTCCTTAAATTCCAACAATGTGGCCACCTTACATAGGCAGGCCCAGCAACAACAACCCGTCATTGTGCAATGTGATAAATATTATCTCTCACCCACCACGCATCATGTGTCCCACAATGATGGTGGTGGCTTTATAAAGTCCAGTCAAAATATTAAAGAATATATATCGCCCATGAATTCGCCGCAGCAACAACAACACCACCAAATGGGAACCACCAACGTCCGTGATAAAAGGTTAGCTTCTCAGACAAATCTTTCCCAGCGTGTTAATACACCATCCATAGATGCCATATCACTGGCACCATCCTATGTGTCCATGGAGACTGTGGATTATATGACAATACCCACATCACAACAGCAACAACGATGGAAATCACAATCCAATTTACCTCCAACGGGAACAACTTCATCTTCATCCGATTTGAAATCCTATTCCAGTGATATGTTGAACAACAACAGCAGCAGTACCAATCAATATTACAACAGCAGCAACACCCTGCAATCCAACTCCAATGCTGCCCAACAACATCCTCCACATGTTACCCAAGTGAAACCATTTAAACCTCTCGATGATATTTCCATAAATTCCGGCTATTCCACAGAGACGCAAAAGAAAACGAAATCCAAACAATGGCTGGAGTCATCTCTAGATGGTCCTGTGATAAGGCAAACCCCTCAACATCATACCCACAACAGCGGAGAAGAAAATTACCACCCCGATCACAATAGCAATATCAGCTCTTCACAACATCCACCCCGCTCCAAACTCTCCTCACACTCGTTGAATACCTCACGACATTATTCAATGTCAGCGGCGGCGGGTGCGGCGTCGTCATCTTCACACTCCCCCCTTGCCCATTCAGCACAGGCGGCAAAATTAAGTCAATCCACATCGTATTTAAATCAAATGGATGTTACCGCTGGTTTAACAAATAATTCCCCAACACCCGCTCCCTCAATATCACAAGCCTATAATATAGAAATTGTCTCACCACAAACTCCCATGGCTTATAAATTTTTACCCGTCTCTACGGCGGGTAATACAAATAAGCCACCGGCTAGACCACCGCTCTATATCAATGCTACACCCCAAAATATTTCTGCATCTCCTACCACTGGGTTGTTAAGTGGTGTTTCAGGCTCCTCAGCTTCAGCGTTATCACCCGATATTCGTGTTGAATCACCAAAAAATGTCACAGTTGTCCAACCGGCCACTTTCCAACCTTACAAAGAGGTTACCAAGCCATTTGAAATGTCCGATTTTTATAAATATTCGACTAAATATCGCCAAAAGGAGAATAACAATAATAGTCAGGTGGATAATTGAGGAAGAGGAAGACTTTATATGAAAGGAAAACATAATATTATGGAGAAAGGGTTAGGTGATATGTTAGGGTTTCTATTTCTCATTAGGAAAATGGAAGCCACTTCAATCAGAGACCATGAAACCATTGTTTTTATCCAGGTTAGATAAGTTAATGGCAAAGCTATTAGAAGTAGGTCACCTGACATCCATATAAAACCCAAATTAGGTCTGTAATTTTAATGTTGATGTGGGATTTTATAAATATTCAGAAAGAAGGAGGAGGATTTCAGATAAAAATATGAAGGCGATTGGGTATAGCATTGGGTTCTAAACAATGCAGTAAGGTCGAATTCTTTCATTGGCCGTGTGAGTCTTGTTTCTTATGGTGGAACTCACAGTCGAGGAAACTTAATGTGGAAGGTGCGCTAGGATAATGGATCTTCTACTGACAACAATTTAGGAGCCGATTAAATGTGTGTTTGTAACAGGAGAAATTGAGCCTCCTTATTAGGTCAGGATTTAGATTTGTGATTATCAAGAACTAGTTAATTGTAGTGATCATGGGAAAATGACACTGTGAGATAACCATTGTTAGACCTGTTATACCAATTCATTAAAAGTGAAAAATTTAACCACAATCATGCATGTCTATGATTACGGGAAGAAGGTTATCCCATACTGACAAGCCATAAACACATTTTGCTCATCCTTAAATTTAACTACTGGACGAAGACAGTAAGAACAAAAATTCTTAGAAGAGGTGAGTTCGGAGGCATTCGGCGCTGGTAGAAATATTCGAGAAGAAACTCTAGTTCCCTTCACTTCGACAGTTTTGGAATATTTTGGATTATTGAAATGTTTTGTTACTCAAATATTTTCATTAAAAAAAAAAAAAAAATAGTACCAAATAATGTTTTAGAACTTTTGGTACAAAATAAATTCTGTGTAATTTTAGTACAAAATGCGTTAATATTAAAAAAAATGTACAAAACACATTTTAGGTCAATGCTTAACAAGTTCTAATATAGTACTAAACAATAAAAAAAAGTTAGTACTAAAAATATTTTTTGCAAAAAAGTTGCTCCAGAAATGTACACAAATATTCCTCAATATTTATTTTTTGAACAAATACATAGGCATTAGTAATAAAATTTGTTCAGAAATGTACTAAAATATTCCTCAATATTTATAACAATAAAAAAGTTAGTACTAAAAATATTTTTACAAAAAAAAGTTTGTACTAAAAATATTTTTTACAAAAAGTTTGTGCTAAAAATATTTAAAAAAAAAAAACACACTACAAATGACTTCTTTCTCCAATTATACAATAGTTATTTGATAAAAATATATGTCGGCTATACCCAGTTCCTTTCCCTCAGATTCTTCAAGCATGTATTGATTAATACCTCGTAATTTTTTTTTTTTTTAATTTTATTTATAAAATATTTTTTTTACAAAAAAGTTTGTGCTAAAATATTTAAAAAAACACACTACAAATGACTTCTTCCTCCAATTATACAATAGCTATTTGTTAAAAATATATGTCGACTATACCCAGTTCCTTCCCCTCAGATTCTTCAAGCATGTATTGATTAATACCTCGTAAATTTTTTTTAATTTTATTTATATCCACGCCTTTAAAATGACAGTTGCAACGAATTTAAAATTTAATCTTATCTTAATCTTATATTTAATTATAAATTTAATATTTTTTAAATTTATTATTTTTTTTAATTATTTCCAAATTTTATTCCATTATATTCATAAATCTGTGTACGTTTAAAAATTTACTGTTAATTGTGTTAAATGTTACAATTAAATATGTATGTTTTTATTGTATTCGTTATTTATGTTTTTCTTTTATTTTCAAAATTTTCAATATGTTAAACCTGATTTTAACATCACTTGAGATTATATGTTCAATACTTCAACTTTACATAGCACCACAGACGTTTGGAATTTATATAAATTTATGAATAACATAGCTCGACACCAGGTTCTTCCTCCATCTATTATCACCTCAAAATCCAATATAGTTTCCAATAGCTTCTTCCAATCTAATCTAATCCAAAACTATAGGAGTTTCATTTCGATAAATTTCTATAAAGGCTGATTTGTCTAGGTCTAGTTCATCAATTCCTACTACACCACAGACGTTTGAATCTGACTATAGCTTAGTTTTTTAATATACTTCTTCCTCCATCTATTATCACCTCAAAATCCAATATAGTTTCCCATAGCTTCCTCCAATCTAATCTAACCCAAAACTATAGGAGTTTCCCTTGAGATATTTCTATAAAGGCTGATCCATCTAGTTCTAAACATCATTTCTAATATTTCTTATTTCTTTCAATATTTTTTGTAAGTAGATTTTGTATGAGAAATCGTTTCCAAAGGGAACGATTATTTAATGCCAAATCTGTTTCTAATTTAATTTCTATGTTTATTTATAATTAATGTAAAAAATGTAAATCTTTTAAAAGAAAATATTATTTTTTTACTTGACAATGAAATTGTATTTAAAAATTTTTAATTATTAACTTTTAAGATTATATTTGTTTTTTTGTAATTTAATTGTTATAGCAAAAGAAAAAAGAAAAGCATAGCTTTAAGTTGTTTTATATTTAAAAATAGATATTAAAATTTGTATTTTATCAAATAGGGGTTGTTATGGAATTTGTTATAGTTTCGAAATGGATTTACTTTTAAAACGATTTATAGGCTCCTCAATATGAATAGAAATTCAGAGAGCAGAATAAACTTTGGATCTAAAGTGGGCCCCAATTTAAATTTAATTTTAATTAAAAAATTATTTTTTTTATAACAACCTTTACAGTATATTACAATTTATTTTTATGGAATCCATTTGGCCATCTGACCATTTTCTATTCATATTGTGGGCTCAATAATAAGAATTTGTTGACTTATAAATTCTGTTTCCAATATCAAGTTCTATAACAACCCCAAAGCCGTTTTTTCGTCATCCATCTCCTCCGTAATTGACTTGCCTGCCTCCCTCTGACCCAAAATAAATATTTTTTGTTCAAATACTTGTGATTTTTAATTAAAAACAAAAATATCCTGCTCAACAATGCCTACAAACAAATACCAGTGTCTTATATTAATAACAAAAACAATAACAACAAACATTAACTTTTAACTGTATAACAAAAACAAAAAGGTGTCCCCAAAGGGGATCTCTAAACACTAAGGCGCCTTATAAAACTACTATACTAATAATAATGATATTTTTTATATACATAAAATATTTACATATAAGCAATTTTATATATATATATATGTAATGCTCAAATGTTTTGCCAAATTTTTTATATATATATACATAAATGTAATGTGTGTTATTTTTTTATAATATATATATTTTTTTGTAATATTCTTTTTTGTATTAATATTTTTTTAAACAATAATATATGTATGTAATAAATCTAAATATTAGTTATATATAAAATATTAAAATGTAAATTTATATACAAAACTTTTTCTTTTTATATATATGTATACAATATTTTTTTTAGCAAATTTTTATGCTAAACTAAAAGTTACAAAAAAAAAAAAAAGAAAATAAAACTAAACAGTTATATATTATTTTTATATGTAAACCATTTTTTATACAATAAAGAAACAAACAATTTTTTAAATGTTACAATAAGTTAGTAATTTTTTGGTAGAAAATAAGTTCCAATGAACCATAAATTGTTAACACTGCGAATCCGCATCTATCCACAAAATTTGAGACAGTTTTTTTTTAAAGTTTCCAATGATAACTGTATGTATATCGATTCAGAAACATATAACGATACGATCAGCAAAATAGAACTTCATGGTAATAAAAAAATCCTAATATAAAATATTATAAGAATTTATGTCACCTGTAATACCAACGAAATGTTATCTAAGCATTGTAACTACAAAACGGAACCGGTTTTTTAATCCCTCCACCATAGTATGGATGGTATATTAATTTCGTTTTACCATTTGTATCTCATCGAAATAATCATTTTCGACCCTATTAAGTATATATAATCTTGGTACATTGGGTTCTTATCGATACCAAATTTATCCACTACAAATTATAAATATTGGTCCACTTTTTCTGGTAGCCCCCATATAACGGTACCCCCAATTTTCAGTAGTTTGGGGGTTATGGTCACATTTGTCGACCGAATTGGAGTAGCAAATCTCTCCACAAAAAATTATAAATATAGGTAATTTTTTCGGGTAGTCCCCATATAAGCGTACCCCCAAATTTTCGGTATTTTTGGGTTCTTGAGCTCATTTTTCAACCGAATTCCCTGATTTGAGGTTCTTGAACGCGTTTTTCAACCGAATTCGCTGTAATTTGGTTTTTTTTTTGTAGTCGTATATGGTAACAAATCACGCTCCCAAAATTTATTAATATTCGCCCCCTTTTAGGGGTAGTCCCCACATAACCCCCTTTTAATACCATTCACCACACTGTGGTAGAGGGTATTATGCATGTAACAGGCAAAATGAGACGAGATAGACACAAGGGTTCTTCTGAGTATATGCATAGAATCACTTTCTGAGTTCATTTATGCATGTCCGTATTCTTGTGAAAAAGAAACAGATCGCATTTATGATCCGATTTAGATGGCCCAACAACAAAACCTATTGAAATTAGAGAAAATCAGTTCAAATTTAGATATAGCTACCTTATATATTTTCGTCCGATGTTAAGTAAATGGTGCACCCAATTCCCAAAATTTCCCAACTGAATTAAGTACAGTTTGATGTCTGTAAAGTTTTGTTGAAATTGGTTCAGATTTCTATATAGCTTCAATATATACACCCCTATTCTGTATGTCGTCGTCGACACGAAACGACGTCGAAGAGAGTCGTCTTTTGCAAATTGGTATTCCCTATGTCTTGTCGACATTTATCGATAACTATTGAAACATTTTTGGTATTCCGTAACAATGTGTGACGACGACGATGTCGAAGATTTCTTCGTCATAGTTTTTGTTGACGACTGAAGCGTT